TAAAAGTTTGACGTTGCAGCTAAACTTCTTTCATGACAAAGTAGGGAGATAAATACTTATTTATAGAAAAAATGGCCATTTTCTACCCCGAAATCGCAGCTTTTTATTTGAAAGTAACTTTTTTTGCGCCATAAAATGTTCAAATTCGTATAGAGCACAAAATTTTGAGTTAGAAAAGACATTTTCCACTAAAATTTGAAGAAGGGTTCTTTTATAAGGGACCCAAAATTGAAAAATAGGGTCTAGGTTGTGATCCAGACTATATAGAGAACAAATGAGTTTTTAGAGGTTTTATTATGACATTCATAATCAGCACATTTTAATGTATAGGAATATCTAGCTTTGATTGATGAAAAGCGAAATTTGTTTTTCGACGATACCTGAGGGAGGACATCATGGACCAAAATTGATGATATCATTTTTTTCAAAATAAACCTGAAATAAATAATCAGGAGTTACCCCATATTCACACCTAATAGAAACAAATTAGTTCTGAAACAGTTTAAAAGATTTGGCCTTATCCGCTCTCTTCCGTTGTGGTCTTCCTCAAGTCACGTGGAGAATCAACTTTCTACTTCAAACATTGCACAAAACAAAATTCCTAATGAGATTAGTTGACTGGGCAAGTTTTAGCTTTTCTAGTATGTTCTTTCTGGAGATGTAAATAGATGTATCAAAATTTACTTTTACACACGAGAGAGAATTTCGAATATTGAATATCTCAGGATAGAATATACTAGAAAAGTTACAACTTGCTCAATGAATTAATCTCGTTGAAAACTTTGTTCGCTCAAAGTTTGAAGTCGAAGTTCGATTTACCATGTGACCTAGGGAGTACCACAGCTTTTTGTTGAAAAACGAAGGTCCGTAAAGTCAAACTGTTCTAGACTTTTATATTGTTCATGAAATGAACCCTATCTCAGTCAAAAAGCGACTTGACATCTGGAAAGGTTCCTTCGTCAGTAACAACAAAACATATTTTTCATGTAGCATGCAAGTCACATATTTAATAATGATATAAATCAATGCTCTAACATGAGCAAAACAAAATATATTAAGATGAACATGCGGTGCAAAGCAAAAAAGAATAATGATTTTAATCAGCGAAACGTTTTCTTTTCTTTTTTATTGTTGATTTTGTGACAACAATTTTTGGTTCATCTAGCAAAAAGAAAAAAGATAATAAAAAGTTTAAAACAACTCGATTTTTTTTACCTGAACCAAATGGTAAACAACGAAGTTTTAATTGTTTTGGAAATTCTGATTGAAAATTTACTTCTTTTGGTTCACAATCCGTAGGTGGTTCAATATCTTGAACTAATGAATAAGTTTCTACTGATGATGAAACCAAAAAAGATAGATTTGCTAATGAAACGAAAAGACAAAACATACTTAAATGAGCTTCATTTCCATTTGTACTTCTTTGAAAACAATAAAATTCAGCAGTTGAATCATTTTGACGTTGAACTCGTAATTTATGATCACCTTAAGAAGAATCAAAACTAATTATTTTTGTCCTCAAGAAAAAAACGAAATCTACCACTGTAAATTATCTTCATTTAGTAAGATGACGATAAGATAATGGAAGTTCATTGATATCAGAAAATGATTTGAGTAGCTATTTATAGGAAAAAAAATTTTCTAAAAAAAGGAATTCAATTTTATTTACGTACAATTTTTGGAAATAATAGAAGTACAGGTTTCATATTCATCATCTAAAACAATAAATTCAAAATTGATTTAATACGAAGCTATATAATAAACATTTATATAATCAAATATAAAGCATCGATGAGTAACACAAGCAATTAAAAATTGAATGAGATTCAATAAACGAAAATTTTCTGTGGCATGATCATTATTTAAAAGAAAATCAAACATCACTGTAAAAAATAAGTATAGAATAATAAACGCTCACTATTCATTTGTTACCATTACATAAATCCTTTTTAGGTTTATGAACATAATCTCCCTTTTCATAAACTCTTGTACTGTTTTCTGTGTTCATAAACTTTTTTTGAGTATATGTATGGAATAAACTCTCAGACGAAAGATTTATTATTCTACACTTATTTTTTACAATCATACAGGTAGCTCAATAGATCTTGGTTTTTGTAATGTTAAAAAGTAGATTCAACTC